TGCATGCAACTAAAACCTCCACTATGCTTACTTTTGTAGGTTTGTCCCAAACAAGGATATGCAAATTCTAATTTGGAAACCCATGAGGTCCATGTAGCCTGGCACTGGCAATCTATTTAAAACCTGAATATTTGTTTTCATCCCGACTGTGTAGCTCCTTAGATTTTGTTTCTCAGATTGTTTTCCCCAGAACAAGATAAGATGTATATTTTCTATAATGTCAAATTAATCTTTCTCAACTCTCTAAAGAAATAAATGTCCTGTTGCGATCATAAAAGTTTTTGTTATACAAGCTGCTAACAACATTTAGGCTGCAAGTACAAAGTTTACACTGAGATCAAGTTGATTGAAATTATTTATTTACATATGTGTAGAATACATATGTAGAACAACCGTGAGTTGTAATGCCAGGGGCATACCAGAGTGGATAACAATATAAATGTTACCAGTCCTTTAGCAAATAAATAGAAAGGATTACAGTGGATAGTAAAAAGTCAAGGTCAGTGATAAGCAGTCCCCTTAAACCCCCTTTAATTCTACTTCACAAAAATATAAGGCATTTAAAAGTAATCCTTTTTCAACTTAGGCGATTATTTGCATTTTCAAAACATACCTAATTCTTAATTTGTAATAAACATTTTTCAACTCTAGTTTAATAAAAAGATTAGCAAAACCCAATGAGAGATCTACCTGTAAATATCCTTTCTAGTACACAAAATTTTCCCTTTTGTTTCTATGTGCTCTTGTACTTTTCCCAAAGGGTTATAAACGAATGTAGTGAGAATAGTTTGAGAGTATCCTTTAGGATACAAGGCTACCTTCTCAGGAAGAACAAACTAACAAAATGAATCTTGTTTTCAAAAATTAAAAGTGGCTAATTTAAATTACCCATGTTAATAAATACATCGCTTTCTAAATTAAAACACTGTCACTTGGGACATAATCATAGGATTTTTCAAATGCCATTCAAATGATTTTTTTCCTATTTAACTATTTTATTATTTTTTTAGTTCAAGGTATCCATTGAAAGACCTATTGGCCATTACAAAGGATTCTTTCATAATTAAGAATTTTGTTACAAGAACATTGATCCATGTGGCTCATGCATCATAATTTTATTTATGTAAGAAATTAAAAGCTACTTCATCCCTAAATACTTGTCATTTGCACTTACAAAGTTGAAAATAACTCCTGAGCAGTATGATTAAAGGGACTACAAAAAGCCACAAGGTTTACCTTAGTTTGTTGTTCTTCCTGCCCTCAAAAGCGCATTTTCTCCGTGTTTATTTAGTTAATATTTCTAAATTCCCAGGTAATTAAAAGTCTTAGGATCACATGCAGCTAATAATTACATAGTAGCCTGTGCTTCTTGCCAACAACCTCAGACCAGCAACTTTTCTTTAAAACCTAAAATGTTCAGATAGAGAGCACATCAAGGCTGATATGCTACGAAAGAAAGAAAAAGTCCAATTTATCTTACTGTGATTTTCATCTGAGAGAAAAATGACTTCACATTGACCTAATAATGTCTTGATATAAGAAGGGATCAGTTCTGATTTTTATTTCAATATTCATTCAGGAAATCTAAACATTGAGCACTCTAAAAACAGTTAACTTGCCCTAAATTACCCTGCTAGATTGTGACAAATGTACATTCAGAATCTGAGACAGAGCTTACTCATCCTAGAGTATTTTTTTAAAACAATCTTTCTTCATGGGTTTTCCATAAAAACCACAATAGAAATACTCTTATATCTAATAAGACTGATAAGACTTGCTCACATTTCCATTTCTATTTGACTTTTGCTCTTACCACCTGTCCTGGATATAGCATCTGATCTTATTTTCTAATAAAAGCATAGAAAACTATTGGCGATGTATAATGTTGCCTTGGAAAACGTTTAGAATTTAAATACATATATCCATTTATTCCTATTAGTACTTTGTTCAGCAGTGTAATAGTAAAAAATGTATTCTGGGTTCACCAAGAATATCTGTACAGTATAAGAAGAAAACATGCAGTCATCTGTTTCCCCAAAGAGCCTCCACAATGCACTGGCTGAAACACAGAACATGAATTCATCATGATTGCATGTATTAAAGCAGGTGTTTACCCATCATTCAAATCTGAGTAAATTCTGCTGAGAAGAACTGTAAAATCTGGGAACCTAAGAGACTACTCTATATACAGTGTTTGCTAAATGTGTGCATCACCGCTGAGAAGAGCAGACTGCATTCAGGACCACATCACGTCATGCAGGCAGAGAGCAGAAGTGTCTGCAAAAGAATACTGTGATAACTGCACCATAAATAAACAATTAATCTTTCCCACTTATTGACAGCCCAGCATAGCTCAGAGCCATTATGTTTCTTACCACATGCATGAATACATTTAGGTGGAGAGCACATGGCAGCTAAAACTGTAGGCCAATTAGGTAAGACTGAGTCCGAGTAACAACACTGCAAATCTTTGCACCCCTCCTATGCAAAGGTGTGCATTGCACCCTCAAACCAGCCTACTGCTCCACAGTCATTCTCCGTTAGCTTTACATGGCTAGTCTTGATTGAAGTTAAACTAACCTTTTCTGTACTCAGATTATGTTTTACCACTCATTCCCCTTTAAAAGGCTTAGCCAAACTTGACTTAAACAAACAAAGGCCATAAAATTCAACACAGATCAAGAAAAAGGTACTATCCTCACTATAAAAAAATAATCCTCCAATTTCAAGAATGATTTCCATAATTACTTTATAGACCATGATTATTTCATTTTCCTATATCTGTAGTAGGTAGACAGCAGCATAGCACAGCGATGTGGCCCCCTGAAAAGTTTCACTGTGACTAAGGGAAGCTATGTGCACAAGAAAAAGGAAAGTGGAACCCACAGTACACAGTACGTTCTTAGACTCCTAGAAAGGCACAACTTCTAGGCATGTTAACAAGTTCAAATAGAAGTTCGAAAATAGAATAAAGTACCATTTTGTACTTCTCCAGTCTGATGATGACAACTCATCTTTCCATTTGGGTGAGTTTGGATGGAGATTACTGAAAGACAGAAAAGCTCATAAAAATGGGCATTATAGACCAAAATATTTCATGTGAACTTGCCATTTTCCTTTGTGTGTTAATGTATATTTACAAATGGTCTGATAATATACAAATTCCTGTTATGTATATATTTTCAAGTTGATACAAACACTGACCCCCCACCTCCAATATTCAATGTCATTGATGCACCATTTGAAAAGTATGCCTCTCTGAACAGTTTCATAAAATATACTTGGTCAATTCTCCTGTGTTTTTAGAAATGAGTGCATGTTTTATTCTGAGTGCACATGATTGACAAAACTAACTATAGACAACACAATTCTTTGTAACTTCTTATTTAGTTGATAATAGGCACTTTCTAAGAAAAGGCTTTGTAACCCAAAAGACTCTGAAACAACTCATTCTTGACTTACCCTTTCGTAAGTGGATCTGCCTGAGCCACAGTAGTCTATTATACCAACACGGCAGAAGTTCAGCAGTTGAACTCTGTGCAAAATAAGCTTTAGGAAATCATAACCAGAGTAAAATCACAGAAAAGTAATTATCTGAGTCAAGCAATTTAACATCTACTTCTTGGTTGATTGGTTTGTTATGTTTCATGTACTATCTCTATGAACAATAAGAATCATGTGTCAAAAATCCTGCGCCTGCTCTTTCACTCTTCTTAATTTACAGATATGCTACAAAATATACCTATCTGTTTACATTTTAAAAAAATTTTTTCATATTATAATAGTTAAAATTTTGATGTTATAATTTAAATTTTGGGGATGTATTTCTGCTAAGAGCCTTTCAATTCACCATTGAACAAGTTTTGAAAATACAAATGCAGAACAATCATCCCCTCTGGAAAACTGGCATCTCTAACACGAATTGGTAAAAGGCCTTTTACCCTGTGGTGGTGCAATATTTCTATAATACTATACACTATATTAAGAGTTGAATATTTATGGTGTTGATAATGTCAGCTGACAAGATAGCAGCTATTCTCCAAGACAGGAAGTAGGGATTTCCTTACCTCAGAACTAAGGATTACTATCTACGTATAATGTCAAAAAAGGAGAAGTATATTTGAGTGAAAATGCAATTCATGCACACAACCCATAGCAATAAGTTCTCAATATCCCACATTGCTATCTGACATGGGCAACAAAACAAGTCATTTAAATGGAGCAAACACTGCCTGTTAGGGAAAGTAACCTAACACTAAGTTACAGAAAAATATCCTATGAAGAGAGATCAGAAAATGGTACTAACAGCTTAAAAAGTTGAATTCTTCCTTGGCATTAATCTATAATTTTAACTTAACAAAAGAGTGCAGAAATGACAGCTTGATATACTTAGCCTGAGATCAAATTTGTCATGGCAACATTGGCAGGTTGGACCCTGATTCTTCAAATATTACATTGCCTTAGATAACAAAAATCATACTTTCTTATTATACAATAGTGACTATAAATAAATGCAAAGTGTGCATGCAGTCAACTGCAAAATATACAAGCAATATCTATGTTTTTAGTAATCATCTTCTTTGGCAGGCCAGAATCCAGCTGGACATGCAGTATGTACATATCAAAATCCATATCATGTTCATTATATTGAAAGCAAGTGAAAATATAGATGTATATACTGTTTTAAATATATTAACAAATATATACGTATATATATAT